CACAGACTGTCCACACGGGCTGCACAGACTGTCCACACGGGCTGCACAGACTGTCCACACAGGCTACACAGACTGTCCACATGGGCTGCACAGAGTGTCCACACAGGCTGCACACAGTGTCCACACAGGCTGCACAGACAGTCCACACGGGCTGCACAGACTGTCCACATGGGCTGCACAGACTGTCCACACGGGCTGCACAGAGTGTCCACACAGGCTGCACAGACAGTCCACACGGGCTGCGCAGACTGTCCACACGGGCTGCACAGACTGTCCACACGGGCTGCACAGACTGTCCACACAGGATGCACAGACTGTCCACACGGGCTGCACAGAGTGTCCACACGGGATGCACAGAGTGTCCACACAGGATGCACAGACTGTCCACACGGGCTGCACAGAGTGTCCACACGGGATGCACAGAGTGTCCACACGGGCTGCACAGACTGTCCACACGGGCTGCACAGAGTGTCCACATGGGCTGCACAGACTGTCCACACAGGCTGCACAGACTGTCCACACAGGATGCACAGAGTGTCCACACGGGATGCACAGACTGTCCACACGGGATGCACAGACTGTCCACACGGGCTGCACAGAGTGTCCACACGGGATGCACAGAGTGTCCACACGGGCTGCACAGACTGTCCACACAGACTACACAGACTGTCCACACAGGCTGCACAGACTGTCCACACGGGCTGCACAGAGTGTCCACACGGGCTGCACAGACTGTCCACACAGACTGCACAGACTGTCCACACAGACTACACAGACTGTCCACACAGGCTGCACAGACTGTCCACACGGGATGCACAGAGTGTCCACACAGGCTACACAGACTGTCCACACGGGCTGCACAGAGTGTCCACACAGGCTGCACAGACTGTCCACACAGACTACACAGACTGTCCACACAGGCTGCAGACTGTCCACACAGGATGCACAGACTGTCCACACAGGCTGCACAGACTGTCCACACAGGCTGCAGACTGTCCACAAGGGCTTCACAGACTGTCCACACGGGCTGTCCATGCAGACTGTCCACTCGGGCTCCATACACTGCCCTCACTGACTGACTACACACACACTGTCCACACTGACTGACTGCACACACTGGCACACTGACTGACTTCACACACTGCCCACACTGACTGCACACACACTGCCCACACTGACTGACTGCACACACACTGCCCACACTGACTGACTGCACACACACTGCCCACACTGACTGCACAAACACTGGCCACACTGACTGCACACACACTGCCCACACTGACTGCACACACACTGGCCACACTGACTGACTGCACACACACTGCCCACACTGACTGCACACACACTGTTCACAAACTTCATGTCATGAAGTTTGCCTTGGGGTAGCAGTTGAAGTGATAAGAATCACTCTGATGGTGCGTGTGTGTGCGTGTGTGTGTGTGTGTGTGTGTGTGTGTGTGTGTACTGGTCCTGGAACTCAGGACCTATGAGCTGTGCCTGAGCATTTTTGCTCAAAACTGGTGCTAGGCCGATAAGAGCCCCGGCCACACTTGCAGCTTTCTGATAGTTACCTGAAGATGAGACTCGGACTTCCCGCTGGCTTCACACCTCCATCCTCAGATCTCATCTCCTGAGTAGCTAGGATCGGAGGCCTGAACCACGGGCAGCTAGCTGTCACTCTGAGTTTTATGGAACGTCCTAACCTGTCATTACTTCCCATCCTGCCTCCCCCACCAGCCTCTGCTGGTCATCCGCACAGACGAAGGCGCATCCGTCCAAGTGAGCATGGCTTCTTCTCTACAGAAGCACACACCTCACACCCACACACATGCACACACACTCCCTTCAGTGCACTACAAACAGACCCTGCTCTGTGCTCCCAGAAGACACTCAAGCTGTGAAACCGAGTTCTGGGGAAGGGGGGAGTGGTCTGGCACTCCCCGCTGAGCCGCACCCTTTTGTTTTGATTGTTTTCATCTGTTTGTTTTGTAATGGTTCTAGGGCTTGAACTTGGCTTTTTGACTCAGGGCAGTTGCTCTCTACCATTTGAGCCACACCTCCCTTCCATCTGTCTATTTTTCAGTAGGGTTTCTTTACCTGTGCATGCCTGGATGGTGATCTATTTGTGCCTGGGCCTGGCGGAAATGGCCGGCACATACCACATGGCCGACTTCTGTTAGGAGAAGTCCTGGAACCTGTTCAACTGGGCTGGTCCAGAACCTTCCTGATCTCCAAATCCAGCTTCCAGCTCCCACATAGCTCAGATGTTAGGTGGGATTCACAGTGCCCGCGTGGGTTGTTGTGGGGTTTTTTTTGGAGGGAGGGGGGAGGATTTGGCCTTTGTTAGCAATCTGTGTGTGTGTGTGTGTGTGTGTGTGTGTATGCACGCGCGTGCGCGCTGGCCCTCACAGCTACCCCTCACCTGATTGTTCAGGCTTCTTGGAATCACACGGCATCCTGCTTCGTGATACGGGCAGAGCTCTGCGGGCTGGGCCCTGGCTTCTCTAATGGTGACTAGGAGGACCTACGTGCAGTGTGAGCTGTCTCAGACACTCCAGAGCACACACTTTCCTACATTAATTCTAAGTCCTTTCCAAAGTGATTGTGCAGCCTAAGTTCCCACACACTGAACTTCAGAGAGCACACAGCCTTTTCCCTTCCTCCTTCTGCTCTAGTCCCAACCCAGAGGTGGTTGGTAAGACATCTCCTTGTATTTGTTTGTTTGTGTTGTTATCTCGTTTTTGCTGGGATGGAGCCAGCTGGCTCTCTACCACTGAAGTACACCCAGGCCCTGGCTAGCTCATGCAAACATCCTGCTCAGAGGCTGCCATCTTTTCACACCTGTGACAGCCACAGGTGCTTCTTGGTTTGCTGGTTTTCTTTTGAGTTCTGGGAGCTCTTGCATAGTGTAGCCTCCTGTCTGTCTTGAGTTATGCAAATATTTTCTTCACCCTGCCCAGTCATTTTTCCTCTGGCTTGCTCAATAATTTCTTTTTTTCAGTCCTAGAGCTTCAACTCTGGGCCTGGTCTCTGGGCCAGGGTTTCCATTGCTCAAAGCTGGTGCTCAACCACTTGAGCCACAGCACCACTTCTGGATTCCTGAGTAGGTCCCTGGAAATCAGAGTCTCAGACTTTCCTGCCCAGGCTGGTTTTGAACCGTAATCCTCAGATCGCAGCCCCCGAGTAGCTAGGATTACAGGTGTAAACCATGGTCACTGGCTGTAAATGATGGTCTTGAAACTGGTCAGCTGCCTATCAGCCAAGCAATGAGCAACTTGTACAAAGTTTACAAAACAGCTCAGTAAAGCACTCACTTCCCGCTCTCGCCTGGCAGGAAAACTGTGAATGTCAGTCCAGCCTGGGCTACACAGCCAGACCCTATCTCAAAGCTCACATACATACAATGAGGTGTGTTGGGTGATTACCTGAAGTTGTTGTCCTAGGTATATTTGCCCCTTAAACCCAGACCACTAGCACCACCTACAATAAAGTGGTTCAATAAGGTTGAGTCTTCTCCCTGTGACTACTTTGCCTTCTCCAACGCCTGCACACATGTGCGCTCACACACGCGCACATGCTCACACATGCGCACACACACACAGACAGAACGCATGCAGACGTGCACATCTACAGGCCCTGTGCCCACTCAGCTCTGCCACTGCTTGCCTGCACACACACGTGTGTGCATGGAACGTGTGCACGCGTGCATGTCTACAGCCCTGTGTCCCCCCCCCGCAGACTCCCCCGGCGTTCCTCCGAGTGCCAGCGCTCACCACCTGTTTCGCGGATTCAGCTTTGTGGCCTCCAGCCTGGTCCAGGAGCCCTTGCAGCAAGACACGCAGGCGGCCCCAGTCCATCCCATTGTGCAGGTAACCCTGACCACCCCACGCCGGCGTCACCCGGCCCTGGCTGGCACACTGGACCCCACACCCAAAGGTGCTGGGTGCCGGGGTAGCGAATGGTGGAGGCGGACGTGTCCCCACTTCCGTGCTCCCAACTGTTGCTATGGTGATCTGAGCTGTCACCCTCCTCCAGGAGAGGGACAGTCCCCAGGCACAGTCACCGTGATGTCTGTGCCAGGGGCCGGGGGTCACGCAGAGAGAGGGTGGGGGCCTCCCGTGGGTCTGGGGAAGGTCAAGGGAAAGTATCATTCTAGAAAGAGTTCTCCCCGCAATGTACCCAAAACACCGAGGACTGAGGACTGAGCTGGGTGAAGAGCTGGTGTGCTTGCCAGTGCCCAGGAGGGCGGGGTGCCCCGTTCCCTCCCGTGGCCTTGTGCAGAGGTGCTGGCACCCTGCACGTGTCCCGCAGCGCTGCAGGGCATTGTGTCTCCACTGAGGGCAGGCAGGGCGCTGGGTGAGGGGCCCGGGATCGCGTTCCCAAGCCCAGGTCTTCCATGCAGACACTTGCCAGGCACACCGCGACCACCCACGCCCGCACCCCATGGCCACCCACACCTGCACCCCACCCACACCCACACCTGCACCCCAGAGACACCAACACCTGCACCCCACCCCTACCCACACCTGCACCCCACAGACACCCACACAGGCACCCCAGAGACACCCACACCTGCACCCCACAGCCACACCTGCACCCCACAGACACCTGTGCCCTGCTCCCCACAGCCACCCACACCTGCAACCCACATTCACCCACACCTGCACCCCACAGACACCCACACCTGCACCCCACAGACACCCACACCTGCACCCCACAAACACCCACACCTGCACCCCACAGACACCCACACCTGCACCCCACACCTACCCACACCTGCACCCCACAGACACCCACACCTGCACCCCACACCTACCCACAACTGCACACCAGAGACACCCACACCGGCACCCCACGGACACCCACACCTGCACCCCACAGGCACCCACACCTGCACCCCACAGACACCCACACCTGCACCCCACAGACACCCACACCTGCACCCCACAGACACCCATACCTGCACCCCACGGACACCCATACCTGCACCACACAGACACCCACACCTGTACCCCACAGACACCCATACCTGCACCCCACGGCCATGCACACCTGCACCCCACAGACACCCACACCTGCACCCCACAGACACTCACACCTGCACCCCACAGACACCCAGCCCTGTACCCCAGACACCCACACCTGCACCCCACAAACACCCACACCTGCACCATACGGACACCCACACCTGCACACCACAGACACCCACACTAGCACCCCAGACACCCAAACCTGCACCCCACAGACATCGACACCTGCACCCCACACCCACCCATACCTGCACTCCACAGACACCTGTGCCCTGCACCCCACAGCCACCCACACCTGCACCCCACACCCACCAACACCAGCACCCCACAGACACCCACACCTGCACCCCACAGACACCCACACCTGCACCCCACCCACACCCACACCTACACCCCACAGACACCTATACCCCACA